GAGCTCTGTGTTTCTTTATTTAGGTTCCTCCGTGTGCATCAGCTGAGCCCAGCAGGCGGCAAAGCAAGAGGTGGATGTTATTTCAGGAAAAGCCTGGCCCCTTGGGCTTGAGACAGAGCAGCATCCCAGGCTGCAGTCCCCTGGCTCTTGTTGCACGTAGGGAATTTGGGCAGAAAAAGGAATCCCAGCCATGCGGCTTTTCTCATCTAGGTTTTGCAGAGCAGGTGTACCAAAGGCAGCTCAATTCTACTAGGACAGGTCACAAGGTACTGCGTGCTCTGGTATTTCCCACTTCTCTGGTGCTGTACATTAAAACAGGAGACCAAAGAGCATTTCTGTGGCATAATGTAGGAGACTGATGGTATATGACGGTGCTAGAGGCTCTGCTGCTCGTGGCAGCGGGGTGTATGCCACGTGGGAGAAGTAGCGGTGCCCTGTGGTTGTGCTAGGTGGCATGGGCTGAACAGCAGCAAAAGGCTCCTTCCAGCCGCAGGCATGCTGCAGTGCTCTCTGGAAACCACAGCTGAAATCACAGTCACATTGATGTCAACACCAAAAAGGAAAAACAAACAGCAAAGCAATGTGACAGACTCAGCACAATATTTCTCTTAACTTACTGATCATACTTCATGCAAGTTTTAGGTGTTTCTAGCTTACTGAAAGTCCAATTCTACTCTCAAAACATCATGTCAGCATGAAAAGTAGGAGTGTATCACATGCAGTGAGCTGCTTAGACTTTTCCTTTTTTACAAATGTACATATTTTGGCCACAGCTCTTTGCTGAATTCAGCACAGATGCAGGTTTGGTCAGCCTGAACTTGCATCTTTCAGTGCATAAAACATTCATTGCACTTTTTTTTTTACCTGGCTGTAGCCACGATGTTGTGTGAAGTGCTGTTTCACTATACCTGAGTACGTAGGGCACATCTGTTCTTTGTGATCTGAGAAACTCTGGGGTAGGTCACCTTTACCTCTAAAACCAGTGCTCATTTGCACTTTGTAAAGCACATTTCCTCCTTAGTCACGCAGGATTTTTGCTTCTTTCAAAGTATTTCTTTTGTAGCAGATTTTTATGCAGATTTTTATGCAATAACTTATTACTAGGTTGTTTTCTACTGATGCGGAGAAATCTTTCATGCAATTTGCATCCCATTAACAGCTTCATAAGAGATGATCCTGATTCTAATAGCTCTGCACAATAAGCCAGTAAAGCCGAGTATGGGAGGGATTATGAAGTGCATTGCTGTTATACCCGCAAAATGGCTCATTCTTTCGAAACGGAGGCATTGACTCCTCTGACACCAAAGGTTAGTCCTAAGAGTTACAACTGTCTGGTATTTTTTCAGCAGTGCTGTGACTGCTTTTTATATCCTGTTTGTTTTGGTTTTTTTTTTTTTTTTGCCCTGTCCATTTTCTTCTGCTAGCAGCAGTGACCACAAAACCAAAGTAGAGCCCCAGTCCTCAGGGACTGATGCCTCACAGGTGGCTGTCAGATGCAGCCTTCCAGCTGCAAAACACTGCTGGATTCCAACACTGTAATAAAACCAGTGTTACATCATTTCTGTGGCGATGGAACAACAACAGAACCTGCCTTGGGACAGGTATATGCACTAGCCATTACCTGTCACAAACACCTTCCTGGAGGCATTTTACACCATATACTACAAGTTTCCACCACCTATAGGACAGGCCAGGAGTCTTTGCTGAGGCTTACAGAGATGCTTTGATGCTGCGTGGGCTGGTGGGGTACCAGCCGTGGAAAGTACCAGCCATGGAAATGAGTAACTCTCTCCCTGGTGTCAGTCTCAATCCGCTGTCCCAGGGTTTTCCTACAGTTTCATAAACCAAGGATTTGAAGTGAAGGGCAGACATTAGAAGCTGGCCTCCTGCTCTGTAGAGAGATGGAGGGGAGTGCTTGTGTGGGAAAACTCGTCACTGCATGAGACCCTGTGTGTTACATCAGTCATGCACAGTGCCTGTGTGTAAGACAGACATAGAGGCTTCATGGCAGTGGTGGTGGCCAAAGTAGCACTCGTGTTGGGGTCACCAGCATTTGCTTATGGGGCATCCCCTGTCTGTCTTGGCTGGAAAGCCAGTATGAGCCACCATGGCCACCACAGGCTACTGCTGCTCCCCACACTCACTTGAGCTGTGCCAAAGCAGCCATGTGGTACATAAAGAATGTGGCAGACTGGGAAGGCAGCAGCTGGAGGCACTACTGAGAGGTGGTAAGGTTTCTGCTTCTGTCCCTCAGCAAGCACAGGCGTATGCTTATGCTGATACTTCTGTTTCTTGCCAGAGTTGGAAAATTATAGCTGTGGTGGATGAGATGGTGGGGGAGTGGGAGTTGGGCAGTCTGGTGTGGTGGGAAGCTGGCTCGGAGGAGAGAAGGGGGCTGGTGGGACAGGGAACAGTAGGGACCCAGAGCACAGAGGGACCTGCCTAGGGCTCACTTTTCCTTCCAATGACCAGATCCATCCTTGCCTGCTCCTGCTTCTTCTGGGAACAGCACTGGGGTCACTCAGCCATCTGGTTCCCTCATGCCCTCTCTTTTCCTGTAGGTCACAGCCTGACATTCCCACACATGAAGTAACAGTCCAGGCTCCTGGGAAATACATGAGAGGGCTCTTTCTTGAACTGTGGCAATGCCCAGACCACACTCCTTCCTAGTGTACATGTAATGTTGTATGTGTTGTTAACTAGCTCGGTTGCCTAACAGAGAGTTTCCTCCATCTGCAAGAAACAGCATATTTTTTTACCTTCTTTGGTCACATTCATACGTACTCCTTTTCTATTTCAATTGCTCAGCCATTATATGGTTTCAGTGCATTTGAACCACTTGAGTAGTTTCATATGATCTTTGACTTCATGGTCATCAGTGTTGTCATTATGCCTCCATTTGATTTGGAGGTTGCCTGCAAGTGGAGTCCACCACACCAGCTGCTCTCACAGTGCTGATGAGGTGAATGCAGTACAAAAGAGCTCAGTGTTACCCTTTTCAGCTCAAGGTCCTCCTCCACCACCCCTGGCCAGCTGGGGATGCTGCCCTTGTAATGATGAGCCAAGGTTCTTGATTCTCATGTCTGTAGCAGACTCCTGTTCGCAGACCGCCATGATGTTGCCAGGCCACAGCTCACCTGTTCAGGCTTGGCATTGGCAGGGCCTCTATCCCAGCTTTGGTTCTGTATGAGTATGGGTCAGCCGTGGTGGGATGTCCTCTGTTTTTTAGGGCCTTCTGCCAGATGCATGCTCCTCATGCGTGCTCTTCCTGCCATACTTGAGGAGACCTGGCTCCAGAAGAGGTGGTTATAATCACCTCCTGGAACATGGGGTACCTGTCTCACAAGCCGTATCTCCTGCCTTCAAAATGCTCTTCATGTCCATAGGATTTTATACTAATCCAAGTTTTTGTGCATCTTAAATTTCTAGCATCTGTAGAGTGTAGCTTTACCAAACATTAAAAGATAATTTTAACAGCCAGTTTTAACATGACCCTCCCATGCTTTCTTTTCCCTTCCGTTTGGGATCTGAGTTTTCCCTTCCTCTGGCTTGTACATGTTTAGCCCATTGTCTTATTCTTCTACAACCCTTTTATGTATGCTCTCAGACATGGCTTCTGTTTTCTTCATTTTCCATTTCTTGTCTCCCCAGTGGCCTCCAAACCCACCTCTAATCCACTGCCTTCTGCTTCAGATATTTGCACCTTCTGGTTGGCTCTGCTGTCATCTGGATGCCCTAGTGGCAGAAGGGAGGATGTAGCTTAGCACTTCCTTCTCCATCAGTCTCATGGCAGAAGCAAGGCACTTGCTTTTTCTCCCCAGCAGCAGAGGTATGTGGGATCTCACCCTGGTGGGGCTTGCCATCTCAAACACCACATTCATGTGCACAGAGCTAGCACTCATCTTAGAAGCCCTTCCAGTGCTGGGCCAGCATCCATAGATCTTACCTTAATGTCTTAACACATCTTTAAGTGTTACCCTTGGTGAAGAATACTTTAGCAAAATGATTATTTTCACTACAGCTGGTGTTCAGTTTTCCAGACACTTGGTACTGTGTAGATTTATGTTTCAGACCACAACAGTTGTAAGTCAAACGTTGTGCTCCTCAGTATAATTTCCGTTTGCTGTGATTTTATTTCTTCTGGGCCTTCTGGTAATCCTCTCTTAATATTTTCCAATGCAGCACTGCAAGGTCCGTGCTGGCACTGAAGGCTTTTACATCTGAAACACACCATCCTGCTGGCTGTAATTAGTGCTGACATGCACACACACAGACTGCTGCCAGGAAGCAGAAACACTGTCCTTCAGCTTTACTCATATGGAAAAGTCGGAGATTTGGGGTGGCTTTCTTGTTGTGCAGATGCCTTCAAACACTGGGAAGCAGGGAGCTGTGGCACTGCTCTTGGTTAAAGGACAAGCTCGTCTACCCAAGCATGTAGCTGTGCCCTTGACAGGTTACATTTCTGTTTGCAGTGTCACTTCCTATCATGCTTGCAGCGGAGGTAACTGTTTGCACTGTCATAACATCTCTTCTGCTGGTGCTTCCTGGCATGCGACACTGCAGAAATTACCGCAGGGCGCATCGCCCCACTCTCCAGACTCTCATTTGAGGATGGCACACAGACAGTCATAAGGCCCCAAGCAGCACAAGCAGCTGTGGGGGCTGCCAGCCTCTGAGCTGCCTCCTGATTGCCTGCCCTGGCTTTCCTGCCTGAGCTCTTGGCCATAAGTGGCCTCATGCCTAGGGGACTGCAGCCCCGGAAGTGGGCATCACTGCAGAGCTTCCAATGGTCACTTGGGGTGGGCTGATGAACAGGTCCCTCTGGAAGAGGTCCTGAACCAGCTCCTTTTGAGAAGTCCTGAAAACCTGTGAAAGCTAGTAGGCACAATAGTTGTGAATAAAATGCCTTCTGTTAGATTTCAGATCATTTCAGGAATGAGTACAGAGAGATGGCTGCATGATGCCCCTGATGTTGATGAAATTTCTTTCTTCTCTTGCAGTAAAAGCAAGGCTGCTTGATGCCGGCGAGAAACATGTGGCTGTCCAACATATTGCCTGAAATCCACAAAAGGAATCATTGGTACTGCTGATTTCAGGTGTCTTTTATTAATACTGAAAAGAAAAATTGTGCGTTTCCTTTGTACAATTTGTAATGCTCTGCTAATCTGTGTAATCTGCAGCTAATGTCCTTTTGTGCTGTGTCTGCAACAATTTCCCTGCTTTGTCATTTCCATCGCAATACATAGGTGTTGTCTATTTTGCTTGTAAGGTCATCTTAGGCAGTTCTGGTTTGAAATATTTGTACTGCAAGCTTTCCCCAAACATGTGATAGTTTCTGTTGGCTGCTCTTCTTGTTTGGTTTCTTTTTATGTCCTTTATGGGAGGGGAAGTGGATGAGCTGGGAGGAAAGATGAAATGTCCTTTGTGTGCAGTTAGAGACAAGTATCATCCCCACACAGTGATGAGATGTACCCTCACCTTCAAATGCTTCTGCTCCAAGCTGCAACTCGCGTCTACATCCACCTCTACAGACATAGAGCTGCACAGGGGACTCCCAGTTGCTCTATAATTAATTGGATCCTAACCCCCCCCTGTGAGATCAACCTTACAAGATGCACCTTGTCCATGTCCCTGCATATCTGCTGGTCCAGGCCCACTACCAGTCCAGTTCCCTGATGACGTGAGGAAACCCAGCTCCAGAGAGACACCATCAGCCACACTAACATGTGGCACACGTGTGACACCTCTTCTAACAAAAATATGGCTAGGCAGTGTATTATGTGTGTGGCATACATAACTATGTCGCTGTGTCATTGCACTGATGAACTTCATGTCAGAGAAGTACAGAGAGTTAGCAAGAAGTGACAACAAATGAACATAGCCAAGTTGCTATGTTTTATGGCAGTGCATGAGCATGTCCAGGGCGTTTCTTTAAAAACATGCTGTGCTCTTACTTGTGCCATGAGCCCCCACTCTTAGTTAACCTTCAGGCATTTAAGGTCAGAAGGCACCATCTGAGCCATCAATTCTGCTGTACAAGTAAGGAGACTGGGTCATGAGAAAGGAGAAGTGAATGAATCTCATGAAGAGAGAAAGGAAATACCTCTAGACTCAAGATAGGATTCAGATGGGATTGCTGAGGACTACCAGAGTTCCCTCTTTGCGTTTCACTTCAACTGAGATGGAGTTCCCCTTTCTTGCACTGAGTGTTAGGTCTGTGGGCAGCCAGGGAAATGTCAGCTGCAGACTTGATGTGATGAAGTGCAGAAGTCTAATGTAGCAAAGAGAAAGGATGAGGCTAGAGGGGAAGAGGTTAATGAGTAGAGAGGGACACAAACCTGCATGATATAAAAGCCTGGAGGATTTCAAGGGGCAGGCTAAACATGAACAGGAAGATGACAGAGCTGCATTTCTAGGTACCTGAGGGAAGGCAGAGAGTTGTGTTAGTTGTGGCTGTCACAGCTAACAGTTGCATTGAGGCATAAGCAACGATGTCTACAGCAGCCAACAGGAAACATTTGACAGACCAGGAGATTAGAGAGGAGGTTACCATCAAGGTAAGAGAGGAGAAAGCGTGAGTTTGTGGATATGCTGTGCATATATGTGCATATATGCATAGCTGTGGTATTGCTATGTAAGCTGCAAGAGGAAACCCTTAACAACAGATTCCCAAAAGCTTGCTATACGATGTCACTTCTGTCAGGGGAATAACACCAAGTAGGCTGCTGCAAGCAAATAATAAAACTACCTCATTTTATTAAGCTGAATCAATCCATGCTGGTTTTATGTCTTCCCATTGTCCTCTTTTTCTAACCAAAGCTACTTCATTAACTGAAGATACAATTACTCTGCATGATTCAGTTGTCCTCGGTGTGGAATGGTCTCCTATGTTTGAGGTGTTCAACTGAAGGCTGAGTTGAATCCTCAAGCTTATCCAGTCTTGAAAATTTTAAGAGGTGGGGCTGGTGGGATGGCTGCCCATCTGCTCCTCCCCAAACCCCAGGCAGGACCAACTGACAGATGTTTTTTGCACTCTCAGAACACTGGGAACTCTACAGCTCTCCAGGCAACATACTGCAGTGCTTACTTATCCTTGCTTTTGGAAGGTATTTTTAGTGTAGCTCCTCTCCTCTAAATTAAGGCAGTTACTCTAGTACCCCAAATGGAGTTGGGACTGAAGTTACTCCCTGATTTATAAGATGACCACTGCTATGTCTTTCTCCCCTCTACACTTAGGTAAAGTCTTATCGACGTTCTTCTGGGTTTTGACTGTTCAGCCTTTCCCTTGGCACCTTTTCTGGACCACTACTACTATTGCTCTCCTTTCATCTTTCTGCTATAAGCTCACCATCTCCCTGAACTGCAGTGGCCAAAACTGCACAGTTCAAATGAAGTCTTCACAGCATAGACAACTGTGAAAGAATTATTTCCTGTTTCTTGCAGATTGAACTTCTGTTTGTACACCTCATTACAACACTTTCATTTTTTACTGCAGCGTGACCGTGCTCATTCATGTTGAGCTGTCATCCCTAGATCTTCTGCAGAACTGCCGCTGTGCCGGTTGTTTCCCAGCCGTCTTTTAGTACTTGATGACGCCTACGCAACTGCAGAGCTGTGTTTTGTCCCTGCTCAATGGCGTTTGTTTTCCCCAGCATTCCTCCAATTTGTCAAGATTGTTTTGCATTCTCATCCTGTTCTCCATGGTGTCCTGTGCTAATTTAATAAGTGTTCCCTACTCTCATTTCTTCAAAGATATTAATGAAAATACCGTACACTGTCAGACACAAAACAGATGGCTTCAGACTTCATTTGATACGTACCGCCAGTTTGACAGTGAAGCATTTATAACTGCTTTTAGTCTGGTTTTCCAACCAGCTGTACACTCCTCTAATAGCAGTTTCTTCTAAACCACGTTTCTTTACTTAGTTTATGAAAGTGTCAGGTGAGACAATAGCAAAAGCTTTACTAAAATCAAGATCTGAGACCTACTATGGAAGGAAATTAGATTGATCGGATATGATTTGTTTTTGTCAAATCAGTGCTTGCTGTTCCTCATCTGCTTGCTGTCATCTAGGTGCTGGAAAACAGCTTAACCAATTTCTACTTCCAGCATTTTCCAGGAATTGAAATTAAGCTGCTTGCTCTCTTGGGCACCTTTGAGTGGAGAACAAAGGAAGAAAGTAACAACCATTTGTGTCTTTGGCATTATCACTGAGTAACTCCTCCTTGTGAAACTCAGGTCTTTCTTTGGCCCTCCTTTTACTTCAAGTACATAAACTTCACACCCACTGCTTGTTGCATCACCTGTATCTTTCTCATTTCATTCCTCCTCTTAGTAACATGACCTAGTTTGACTTTCTGTCTGCTTCCTCTGCACATCTGAAACTAATGAAGAGCTCATGTTTAATTACTTTGTACCTTGTGGGCCCCCTCTAGGACTTGTGCTAAGTTTCCCTGCTACCAAGGAGTTCACAAGTAGCTCTTTACTATTTCTTCTGTAATTGTGCCTTCCACACAACTTCCTTAGAGCACTGTTAACTCTTCAAATGTCCTTTCTGCCTCAGATTTGCCACTTGAAGGTCACTCTCACCCCAGCTGCCTTTCACCTTTGCCCACAGACCCAAGTATCCTGTATAAGTCAGAGTCAAATACTGCAGAGCATCTAGTCAGGAAGAAGCTAAATTAAAGAGCTGACAGCTGTGGTCAGCTCAGGGAAGAGCACAGAAAGAGCACCAGCACAGAGCTAAACAGATATGCCCCACATATTTAGCACTTAGTTGTGTCAGGAAAAATTAATATTAACGCTCACAATTATCTGCCCCCGTCTATGAACTTGTCATTAAATTCAGGAGGGCTGACTAACAGCGGTGGAAACATCGTTATTTGTGTAAAACTTGAGCAGTGCAAAACTTACCATTGCTGTTTGTCTGCTTTAAGACTTTCTGATGGTATCTATTATATCTTTGCACAATGAGGAGGCTTAGACTTTGCAAACATTTGGAAATTCTGTGTAAGAAGCATGCAGTTAGATCTTTCATTCAATTAAGCACTGACATTACAGTGTGTTTCCAATGATGGGGGTTCAGGCCTGCAAGAACAGCATCAAGAAGCTCTCACTGAGCCAGAGCTCGCCATGTTCCATGCTCTTTAAGCGCTGTTGAACAGGGCCTCAGCTTCTCAGCAGCCAACCAAGACACTCCACGCCTTCAGGACCAGCTTAATCTTTCCCAGTCAGCTTCTTCCAGTGCGTGGTGTGCACTGTTCCTGGAAATATCTTACTCTAGCTGCATTAGTAGTAGAAAAGCTCTACCTAAATGTACCTTCCTGCTTAAAACTCCCATTTGGAAATTTGCTTTGGGAGCTGCTTGCCCTCTACTCCATAATGCCATCCATCCAAACCAATCCGAATCTTCCAGGCCAGGGCTGTGCCCATGCGATCTCCCTGTGCAGTCCAGGAAAAGCCTACCTGAGCAGTCTGATGCCAAGTTGGCTTTTGGCTGCCATTCATAGCTCAAACATGTTCTTGCAGAAGTCCCTTTACATGCTGAGCGATTGGTCCGTGAGCACAGTCAGCACGGCAGCCAGTAACTCTGCTGTGAGTTATTTTAATGATGTTATTGATTTCATTAGCTCCATTTTGTTTTGCTTCATTACATCAACTCTTGGCGCCAGGGTTAAGTGGCAGCTAATTAATTCAGCATAAATGATGGTTCTTTATGGGGCAGCCAGGACCAAAGAGAACTCCTGAAGCTTCCAGGGATGTTTGCCCAGAAGCTGGGATGGTTTGTAAAGGAGTTGTTAACTTTGTTTTAACATCCCAAACAATCAAATTAGTACAACTTTATAACTTACTCCTCTCTATGCATTTGATATCACCTCATGAGAAGAAAATGTTACAGATATAACAATAGCTGGTATTCTTGCAGACAGTCCGATTTCTTTATCTAGAAGTTAGAGTTTGATATGTCACCCAATGATTGGCCTTTGAGTCATTCGAAGCTCCTATAAAAAAGAAGAAAAACAAATGTACAGCCTGCTGTGGTAGTGTCATAGTCTAACCGAGCATCCACGGCATCTGCTGGAGAACTCTCCAGACAGTGCCCTTGGAATTTGGGTCAGACTTTATAATGCTCCAAACAAGCTATGAAGAAAGCTGCAGGAAGATCTGAGAGACATCCCCATGAGGACACAGATGGGTAATTATTTATTTTTTAAGAACATACCTAGAGGCTTAGGCAACCGGCAGACTTAAGTTCACCAAACGGTATTTGGGTTAAAAGAAGTTACACTACTGGCAAGCAGAGAATCTCCTGAAAGTACAGTTCATCTTTCCTGAAGTAAAATCAAAAGTAGCAGCACCACCTCATCATGTCAAGCTTCCTAAAACAAAATACCTATTAAAAGTAATTCAGCTCAGGCAAAAACGTGTTGTAACTGACAGGCTTTCCATTGCCCATCTGAGAAGACCTGCTTGCTCAAAGCCCTGCACCTAGCTGTGGCCTGACTCAAGGCTCCTGTTGGCTTTGGTGAGAGCTGGCCAAAAGCAGTATGTTGGCCCCCACTTGCCATGCACTTGGCACTTTTGTAGAAAGAGCTGGAAGGACAGCTCACCCCAGCTTGTGTTGCAGCAGCAAAGATAATGTTTGCATCTGCAAGAGAAACTGCAGTGAACAACATGGTGCCAACAATCTCCAAGTGAATGTAGCTGGTGTGCTTCTGTTTCACTGCACTCTTATCTACTGTATAATCATGAATGGGAGTCCCTGTGCAAAGTGTGTCTTCACCTCACTATTCGCATGATATTTCTTTGTCTAATGGCAATGTGGCTGTTTCCTTTGCACCCTGAACAGTCCAGCTTTTCCTTACTTCTTCCCTTCCTAGCTCTTTCCCTCTTCATTTCCATTCCATGTTTTAACAAGATGACCTATTGGATACCAGTATCTGGGTAAAGACTACCTCTTTGTGTCAAACCTTTTGCTTCATCACAACATCATAAAACCACCACTGGGAAATAAAACAACAAAGCAGAGGTGTATGAGGGGTTTCTCAAGTAAGTTATTTGTGTTGAGCACATGCACGGATACTTATTTTACTTTTTCTATCATAGATCAGCTAATGGATATTTTCTTTAGTTGAAATATTGGAAAATAAAAATAAACTCAGGCAGTCCTGAGATCTGTCCTGGGTGACACAGACAGGGTGAAGGTGGCATGTTAACCCACTACTTCTCATGGCACAGAAGCCTGGGGCTATCAGAGTGAAAGAGCAGGCTGTGTGGGCACCTCACCGTGGGTCATTTTTCTTGTCAATGTATAACCAGACTTAAAATGTGATTAGGGAAATTCCTGCATGAAAAGTCCTTCAGGACTCTTAACAACTAAGCACTTAGCTGGGACTGCACCACTGCCCAACTGCTCTTTGTGTCTGCGTTTTCCTAAGCCATCATCCTGGCCTTTCTCAGAGATGGGGCTGTGATGTGTCCTCCCAGCCACCTCTGCACACCTCGGTTCTCTGCCTTCCATCTTCTCCCTGCCTCCCATCTGGGCATTTCCACCCACTGCTCAGCTGCCCCGCCAGCAAACCACTCTGGAGTGAACTTTGTCGTCCTCCACCTGGCAGCAAACCTCAGTGGCATGAGTTGTCACGGATCTTCTGCTTCCAATGGAAGGAAGGTTGTGAAGGATACATCCCGCATTTTTTCCTGAATGCTTTTTTGAGTTGGAAGGATCTCTTCAGTTATTTTTGTCAAAATGGGAGTG